CGAGCCATCCCTGGCCAAAAGAACCTTCTTCGGACCATTTCTAGGGTTCTATCGCAGCCAAGGTGGCCGATGTCGTCATGGAGACCAGTAATGGCGGTTTCTCTGTAGCATTCTGGAAGAACTAGCTGATGTGAAATGCTTCCTTCTGCTGTCTTTCGTGCGCGATGTAGAATGTTGTCTTTCATCTCTAGCTTGTCGTATTCTCTGAAGTAGGGGAGGGAATTCGGGTGTTGTTGTCGTTCGTGTGAGTCTGGTCTTCGACCTTTCTCAAGAAGATAGATCACCCTGGAGATGTTGGGGTCGTCACGCTGGGAGAGCGCTAGTTGTTTCTGTGACAGTCCGGGGAGCTCGTTCTCGTTGGTCTGGATTTCCATTGTTGAAGGAAGCCTTGCTTGCTGACGAGTCACTGCCTGACACTGGACGGCTGACGATGGGGCTTCTATGTAGGGATGTGAAGAAAGAGGATGACCTCCACATATCGCCTGGACGATGTCGCATGGGATCGTTACAGCTTCATCTCGAGAGGAAGATATAGAGGCTGACGATTCTGGTTGGGGTTTTCTGGACAGCGCATCTGCTGCAGAGTTACTTTTCCCTGGCTTATACTTGATGATAAACTCAAACTGAGAAAGGGCAGCGACCCAACGTTGACCCGTGGCGTCAAGCTTAGCTGTAGTAGTAACATACAGGAGAGGATTGTTGTCCGTCCATACAGTGAATTTGTTGCCCAGCAGATAATCGCGAAACTTGTCAGTGACAGCCCATTTTAAGGCGAGAAATTCAAGCTTGTGAGCGGGGTAGCGAGTTTCTGCTGGAGTCAAACCTCTGCTGGCGTAGGCAACTATTCTCTCTTGACCATCTTGGATCTGGCTTAGAATGGCGCCAAGACCAGTACCGCAGGCGTCAGTTTGAAGGAGAAATGGCTTAGTGTAGTCAGCAAATGCAAGTATTGGGGCTGACGTCATCAGATCTCTCAGGACTTCGAAAGACTTCTGGCATTCATCTGTCCATGTGAATGGAGGGACTGACGTAGACTGTTTGCTCTTGCCCTTCTTTCTTCGTCGTGGGTCTCCAGCTGTGAGTTTGTATAGTGGTGACACGATGTTAGAGTAGCCCTTGATGTATCGTCTATAATATCCCGTGAAGCCCAGGAACCGAAGGAGTTCCTTGCGGTTGCAAGGTGTCTTCCAGTCCTTGACTTGCGAGATTTTGTCAGGATCGGTTGCTATTCCTGCTGCAGACACTATATGGCCGAGGTACGTTACCTGTTTTTGAAGGAGATGGCATTTGGAAGGCTTCAACTTCAAGCCGTGTTGTCGCAAGCAGGAAAACACCTTCTCCAACCGTTGGATGTGCTCTTCGAATTTCGAGGAGAAGACGATGATGTCGTCGAGGTATAACAGCACAGTGGAATAATTCTGGTCTCCTAGACAGGTTTGCATCAACCGCTGGAAGGTGGCTGGGGCATTCTGAAGACCAAAAGGCATCCGGTTGCACTCAAAGAGGCCCATCGGAGTGGTAAATGCTGTTTTCGCCTTGTCTCGCTCTTCTACCTCGACTTGCCAATAGCCAGATGTAAGGTCTAACGTTGTGAAGAATTTGGCATTGCCCAGAGCGTCTAAAGCCTCTTCAATGCGAGGGAGAGGGTATGCATCACGGATGGTTCTGCTGTTCAGTTGGCGGTAATCGATGCAGACTCGTAGTGACCCATCCTTCTTGTGGACGATAACCATTGGTGAGGCGTATGGACTGTTGCTGCGGCGGATGACTTCTGCTTCTTCCATCTTCCCAAGTTGCTCTTTCACAGCTTGGTACTGGAGAGGTGGTATTCTCCGATGAGGAAGTCTGAAAGGATGCTCGTCCATCAGTGGTATCGTATGCTTCACGGTAGTGGTTCGGCCAAAATCAAGAGAATCTGCAGAAAATACATCTTTGTATTTCTGAAGGAGATGGAGAACTTGCTTCTTCTGGGCTTCGTTGTCAAAAGTAGACTCTGAAAGGTCGAGTGAAGGTATAAGGCTAGTCAGCTTTTCAGTAACTCCCTTGTTCTTCATGTAAGCACGCATGAACCCTTCATTTGGATGAAGTGAAGAAGACAGTGGTTCCTCCGCAGAACCTTTATTCTCCTCCACATGAAGAACTGACGAGACTTGAGCAATTCGGCAATTTCTCGGGATGATGATCGGCTTGACGGATATGTTGCACATCCTCACTGGAGCCCTTCTGTCCTGACCAACATCAGCTAAAAGGTGGCCGATTCTCAGACTGGATGAGCTGTTTGGGAGACCTTCCACTAAGGCAGTATATGGACGACCTGTTGGGCTCGGAGGGGCTTGGCAAATTATGTCGACCTCAGCACCTGGTTTTATCTTCCGGGGGGAGCGGCCGACGTACTTGGCGTAGCCCATTCTACCAGACTGGTCATCCTGGTCGAGCGTTGCTGTGTTGATGTATGCAGTGTGCCATGCAGTGTTTTCTGTCTTCAGCTCTTCCATGAAGTTGTCTCCTCTTGTATGATGCTGGTCTTTCTTCGTTACTCTTATTACATTCGTGCCTATTAACACAGGAACATGCTGGCGATAGCTGTCAGAGGGGACCACGAAGACCGGTACGTCATCATAGGTGATACCAAGAATAGTGACGGAGACGGGAAGAATTCCCAAGTAGGGGACTTCTTGACCGCTGGCACCCTCAATCTTAATGTCTGCTGAAGATAGACTGACATCAGAAAGTAGTGGATGTCCTCTCCATAGGTCCTCTGTGATAGATGATATTTGCGAGCCGGAGTCAATCAGTGCTCGATGTGGTACCCCGTTGATCTCTACGGTATCTTCATTATTTGGGCCAATCACTTGAAAATTCGAGGCTGCGTTTTGTCTACTGTCTGAAGGAGAATTGAGATGTGTTGTCACTTTCGGGCTTGACTCTTGGCCTCCGGTTTGCCCTCCGACCGGGGCCCCTGGAAGTTTAACGGAAGGTTCCGACATCCACGGGCTATGTGTCCCTCTTGGCCACAGCGGTGACAGACGAAGACATTCCTGTCAGTAGGCTGTTGAGGATACATCGGCTGGTTTGAAGGAGAGTAAGGTCTAGACGCCAAGGACTCAACGGTTCTGGTTAGCTGTTCGACCTTATAGATGAGACCTTGAATGACTTCTTCACTTTGGCTTTGTCGGTTTGTTGGTTGGTTGTTCGTAGCCTTCTGGAGTTTGAAGGTGGTATCTGCTTTCTGCTGTCTTGGCGGAGGTGGTGCTTGTTGGCCTGCCTGTGCTGGAACATGTTGCGGTTGTGACTGGACCTTACTCGTGGGTTGTGGGGACTGGGCTTTGGAGACAGCTTTGGAATGAAGTAGAGCTGAAGCCCGCTGTTCTCGCTCTATTTGTCGAAGTTCCACTTGCAGTTCTCTGAACGACATGTCCCTGGGCCTCATCGGAGCAAGACGGTTGGTTATTTTTTCGTCTCCAACTCCACGCATGAACTGCTGTGTGAGCATGCTATTACGGTTGGCTAGAGGAAGCCTGCTGTTCATCCGCTCCTCTACAGTCCGTAGTGTCGCCTCCAGCTCAACTGCGTATATACTGGGCGATTCGCTTGCCAGCCTCAATCGCTCGTAGAATATTGCCAGGGGATCACCAGTCATGGATGCGTCTCCAAATTGCTCTTTCAGTTCAGCAAAGGCATGGTGCGGTGTTTGCTCCTCTGGGGGTAGGTTCAAGACTAGTTTCCTGGCTGCACCTCCAAGGTTTCGGACGATCGTAGAAAACTGCATTTCAGGTGGCATGGCTGTGTTGTCGATGAGATATTTGACATCCCTCACCCAGTCTTCGATGCAAAGACTTGAGCCCTCACGGCCAGTGTAAATCGGGACGCTCTTGACTTGGTGTGATGGCATCAGCTGGTAGCGATTTGAAGGAGACATTGGTTTGTTGGTCGGGGTTAGAGGTGTGTAACCTTGGAAGATGGGTGTCGGAGCACTAGGGACTCTAGTTCCCATGGGCGCTGCTCTGTTCGGACCACTGCTTGCAGATCCGGGTTGCGGTTGCTTGTGTGGACGAAGACAACTCTCTGAGATCCGTCGTTCGATATCCACAAGTTCAGCTAGGAACTGCTCGGCGATTGGTGTAGATGGTATTACCTCCTCAGTGGATCTGTCATGGCGAGTAGTATGGGCAGCAGCAGGTGGTATATGGGTTGTCGAATAGCGAGCTGTTGCAGGGGTTGGATACATTGGGTCTTCTACAGAAGGTCTTCGAGAAGAAGCCATTTTGTCTGAGAGGAAACAGTTGACTAAAAGACCAAGCACAACAACAATGCAATATGTACCAGGCATCCAAAGGTAAGTCAAACAATAATGCAATGTCAAGTAGAATGGAATGTAATACGAAAAAGACAAAAATGGTTAGGCAAATCAGACTATCAATCAATTAAATCAAGGAATATCAAATATCAATCAAGGCCGAAAAACCAATTATCAGCACCAACAATCAATTAAAATCAAACGAATATGGCAATACCAATCAATCAAAAATGCACGAACAATAAATTAGTGTGAATCAAATCAATGAATCAGTGAATCAAATCAGTTAATTAGTAATCAACGTCAAGGTCAACAATAAACACAAACAAATTTGAACTAGCGAACAAAATGCAAAAAAAAGATCAAATCTATTACTGCTCGTATCGATCAAAATAGGAATTTAAATTCAACTTCTCGATAACTTCAACTGTTTCAATTCAAGTTCAATCGGTAAGTGTACTCAACTGACACTTGGAACATTTTTCGTAATTAACACCAAAACAGTCTCGCGAATGGCACCCGTCTTGTACATGGGAGGCAAATAAAGCAGGGCAAAACAACGATTTACGGCAAACGGTCTCCTGCGGTTTTTTTCGTGTGAGAAAGAGAGTCAATCTTGCAATGCCGTAAACTCAACTAGTTGGCTTTCAACGCAGCCCAAACAATGATTGTCAATCACAGCGAATTCTTGGTGACACTTGGCCAGGGATGGAATTAACGTTTGCCACCTGCCGTACAACAGGAGAACCATTCACAGTAATGGAATTTATCAAACAATGACAGTGTAAAAACCAGCTTGGTTATAAAGTGCTTCTATTCAATTAATTATTTTGAACCAGTTGCCTTTATACCTGAATCTTGATTCTTGCTTGACGACTTGGCTTGACTGTCCGTTGTTGTCCTTCAGTGGTCTTGGGTCGGGGCTCTTGACTCCCGGCACGTAACGAACTCCACGGCAGGTTCTGCAGTAACCGGCCGGCTCAAACGGTTGCGCGTTTACGGTGAGAGGGTTCACGGCGGACAGTACTCGAAACTATAGTGTCAAAGTAGCTGACGGCAAATCAATAGATCATCTAGATGTCTAAGGGTTCAAAAAGTCCACGATCGCGATCTCAGTTCCTCGGGAAGATACAGCAAACAGTCCGATGACAATGTTAAACACCAAGGGACGATGTAGGCTCCCTTTAGCTAGGTCTTCAGGACGCGATGAATGTCCACGGATTGACGCGACATGACTGCTAGCTGTGTTGCCGTAGCTCATCGGGGGAGAATCTTGAACTCTGGTGCGATCAGGCTCGTCATGGGGGGAAGGGACTTCAGTGGGTCCGCTTAGGTTGTTATCGGGCTCGTCAATGGTGATCGGCCGCTGGACCATCCGATGGACGACGCACAACCAAGGTTGATAGCTGTGGATCGTCAGCAGGGGCTCGTCAGTGGGTCAGCTTGGGTGGCGATCGGGCTCGTCAGTGGTGATCGGCCACTGGAACATCCGACCGACGACGCTCAACCAAGGCTGGCTGCTGTGGCTTGGCAATAGGTTCTTGACAGCAGGACTTCGCTGTTTGGAGCTCGGATGATAGCTGGTCAGCACTTGATAGGTGAAATCTTGATCGATGTAGCAGATACAACAGGTAAGAATTCGTCAACCAGGTACGGCCGTTGATGGATTTCCTCATACCCGGATCTTCCACCAAATGTGACACCGGGGGGATCGGTGTCGAAATGGGAATGAGGAACGGCTGAAGCAAATTCTCTGTTATCTCTGTTGTTTTATTCCTGTAAAATGAAGAGAAGAGTAAATCTAATGTTGTCTCTTCAAATACAGAAGATGGAGTGCCTAAATAAATATTTACATGACAAATTATAAAAAGTATCTAAAAGTAAAATATGTCTCCATGGACGATTTAGCCAAGTAATTGAAAGCAAATGCTAAACAATAATTACTAAAGTGAAATATCAAAGGGATGGCTAAAGCATGACAAATATAAATCATTTAAACCAAAATGGCGATTCCCGCCAGAAGATCGGCGATAGCCGCCATCTTGCGGCTACGTCCGTTTTAGGACTAATTACAAAACGATACCTTAAAACACACCCAGTCTCTTGCCAAAAAACTACAAGAATATTATTACAACTCCCGTTTAGGACTATATCATTAAGGATTAAGCTAGATTGTAAGTCTAAGAATAAGGAATAAGTCGTAACAATCTATACCACAAGTCCAAGAAAACGAAGTATTGCTAACCACGAAAATGCACTATAAATCGTAGAAAAGGCTTAATAAAATATAAATGAACACGTAAGATATGAGTAGATGAGTAATTGAAGTTTAAGCTAGAAGTAATGAATTATAAGAAAATAAAGAAGTATTTACCTGTAAAATGAAGAGAAGAGTAAATCTAATGTTGTCTCTTCAAATACAGAAGATGGAGTGCGGCGGGCCGTTTGCCGGGCCGGGAAGAGTGTATTGTTACATAATTTAAATAATAATGAAAGAGGCGTAAGGATATAGTGCATAAGAAATAGTCCGGAAAATAAAAGGGGGGGGGGGTATATTTTAAACCGTCACAATCTCATTGCGACTTTAGAGGTTATAATACCAACCCAGCGTTTTTACATATTTTGATTGACGGAAAAGCAGTAAATCTGAAGAAAAAACTCAGTTTGAAAAGGGTGTTTTGTCAGTGGCTATGGCCGCGGCTACGGACGTCACGTGAGGCTCACAATGGCCTGCCTTTGAGCAATTCATTAGCACAGCTCTCGTGGCTAACCCGTCTGCCTTTTATACCCGACTTGATCCGGGTGAGCTACTCGAACGCACCCTATATTTGAATGACAAACAAAAATTGTTTGAATCCCCGAACTTAAAAGAAGTATTGACTACTTTGGTTGGTGTGGTGAAACTAGCCTCCTGAGATGATCCATGCAGCGTTCTTTATTCCCGAGGTGACACCCAGGGAAATAGAATGCTCCATGGATCACCGAGGGAGGCTAGTTTCACTTCAAGTTGAAAGCAGTCAATGTTTGTTTTATAACGCCCCACCGCTTGCTTTTGAGGGATAACTGATTAATTTAACCGAAATCTCATAAAGATGTTCTTCATTTTCAGTGTGATTGATAGTGATTGAAAACTGTCTTTTTCCGAACTACCCCTTCATGAAATGTTTGAACTTAACTTTGAAGCGCGCGGGAACAAAACACGCAACATGCAAAACGCATGTGCATATGCTGCTGTTTCTATGTTGGTTGCTACATGCATAGTACTTTGTCAGCCTTGAATAGTGTTTTTAGTCATTGTATTGTCTTTTTGGCTGTGTGTAACAGCAAAAAAATGGCTCATTAAGAAAAAAGTCCTGGCTCAAATGATTAGGTCGTGATTTATGTTTAGAAACTTGGACAAAAAAAAAGAAAAAATCAAGGAAACAAAATTAATTTCTCAAAAATTTAATTTAGTCTCATAAAAAAATCCTTCATATGCCCCAAAAAAAAAAAATCCTTGAATAAAAGACAATTTTCTCAAATACTTCAAAAGAAAACTCAATCTGGATCAAACAACGAATACAAAAACACAAGAAAGAATTTGCCAAGGAGTAAAATAAACAATTGGATACAATTTTAGGAGAATAAGAGAACAACTAAGGTTTAAAAAATGGATTGACAGAAAAAAAATACTGCAAGTCAAACTTGCGTGATTCCCCCGGCATGCTGTTTTCACAATTGTTTTAGGAACATCAGTCATGTAGGACTGTCATCCAAGTCAGATGTACATGTACATGTGTATGGTACCGAAAATATTGGGCTGTGAAGAAGTGTGTATAGGCACATGTACATATGTTTTCATCAACTGAAACAACCAACAGGTGGTCCAGATATTTCAAGCAAATCACAGACAAATGACTTGAAGAACAAGCGAAGAACTGCTCGACTAAAGCATTTTTGTAAAAACGTGTGCTTACAGCATAAGAAGGAAATTAAATCATAAAACATAGATAAAATATTCACTAGCTATAAGTCAAAACTCAACCTTACACACAGGATTATCCCACAAGGAAAACAAAATGTCTCCTTGAAAACCCACAATATCACCGTAAGTCCTTGGAGAGAAGGCCGACGTTAAAAAATCCTTTCCAACACAGATATTTACAATCTATTGAATCTAATGACATGTTAGTCAGTTTGTGTACATGTACATACAGTTAGTAAGAATCTGAGCTGCGCTCCTGAGAGACCTCGTAAATATCCATATTGGAAAGGATTTTGTTTTACGTCGGCCTTCTCTCCACAAACCACCTTTCAAGTTTGGTTGAGAGTGATGACTGAATTAACTTTATACAGTTATACTGGAACACACACACACACAGATAAGTGTTTATTTGCCTGCAATCAGGGACCCCCTATTGTCCCTCTAAGGGTTTGTACTTTTTAGGAAGACATCCCATATGTTTTGAGGACCTCTCGGGAATTGGGGACCCTATTGTCCTCTATTGTTCAACGCACCAACAAACTTGGACTCACAGAAGGAATACGCGATCGCAATATATTCCCCTGTCTGGCTTGAAAGCTTACTTGGTTTAAGATAGCTAAGGCCAAAAAAAAATATATATTCGGTCTCTGGTCAGACCAAAGTTCCGGAATTGACGCGGCGACGCGGCTTGTTTTTTTTTTGGGGGGCTTTTTTTTTTTTTCCTTCAAGCTTGGATTGTACAGACAATGTGGGTACTATTTTGCTTTGTTGGTGTCCTCATGTACATTGGTGTCCTCCATAATTTGCCTTGGTGCTTTCGATCATTTGCCTTGGTGCAATTTGCCATTCCTTGGTGCTCTTTGGTAAAAAAAATTTGAGGAGGTGCGGAAATAGAGGGCGCTGTTGGAGCTACCGCGGAACAGTTTGGAAAAAAAAAAGATCGACGCGCATGATTAAAATCGACGGGCGCGCTGACCAGAGACCGACTTATTTTTTTTTTGGCCTAATGGCAAAAATCTCACTGTACACAACCGGTACGTACATGTACACTGTACATATATGCGCTAAACCAGCGACATGTACCAACATTACAAACGCTATTGATTCAAGTTTAGAGTTCAATGAGGCAGTCTATCCGTGTTTACTACGGAAGCAAAAAATGGACATTGCACAAATGATTTGTGTGATATAGTTTGTCAGTTTTGCGATCCAAGGAATTAACAAAACATGCCAAATGTACAAAGCTTTGAATTGAATATTTACATAGTCACGTGCCATTGTGTTTCATATACAATGTACTTGAACAAAATGAAGATTGGCAAAATACGCTTCATTAAGTTTTAAGACATATCATAAAACTTATGGATTTTTTATTATTATAACATTACGTACAGTGATGATCTTATTTTACAACATTGCAGTAGTAAATTCAATTTTGTGAATTGAATGTCGAACGTTAAGAAGTTGCGGTCCCAGTTCAATCTCAAAATAGTTTGTCAGCAAAAACTGTTACACGGTTCAAGAAACATTCAACGCTTTGTCTCTTTCTCCACTGTTTATGATTGGATTTCTCTTGCCGACTTTATTATTGGAGAGTACACCATAGGCCTACTCACACAGTTGTGGGGACCGAAAACGCTGTGGGGATAGCAGAAAGTCCCCATAACTTGGTCCTAATTTGCCTAACAATGAAAAACTCCCCCATAATGCGGTGTAGGCCAACGCGCATGCCGAAATACGTTGAGGGAGGCTATTAACTAAAACACACCAACATTACCAGTTAATGCAATTTCGAACACATTTTACAATTTGGATGAATATCAAAATTTCAGGAATGTATAGCAGATCTAAATAGCCCTGGTTCAACTACAACGTTGGTTATGTTCTGCAGGGCCTTGTAAGGCAAATCATATCAGTAGGTTAGCCTCGGTTCAAGTACAGCGGTTAGTTTTTCAGAGGGGCCATAATCATGCAAATCACATCCGCTCAAAGATCTTAACGGAGTGTAGGTCAGCGACAACTACGTCGCCAGCGGGGGTGAATGCCATTCCTAATGGATTGTACAACCTTTGAGCTACCGTTGCTACGAATGCACCATTTGAATCGTATCGCTGCACTTCAGCACCTCTGATTTTGCCAGAATGAACAGCGACATAGATGGTCTCATCATCTTCACACAGGACACCAGTTGCCTTAGCAGCTTTGCCATTCATTAAAGTCTTGACCCTGAACATCTCTTTGCCTTTAAAGTTAACGCACAGCAAACTTTGGCCCTCAAAGTTTGTGAAGACTAAACAGCCAAGTGTGCTTATTGCCAGGTAATTGCTAACCATGTTATTTGAGATGCTTGCAATCAACGATCCGTCCAGGTTGTGGACACTGATGACCTTTCTCCCCCTGTCAGCGACTGCTACTCGTTGACTGGCAACAGCAACAGCAGTGAGGTCACTCTCTGATAGCTCATCGACATCGTCAGCCAAAGGTGTAAACTCGCGAACAAAGTGGAGCTCATTGTCAAAAACCTTCACTTTCTTTTTGTCTGTGACAAAAAGCAGATCATCATGGGACACCGCAACGCCCCGAGGAGCTTCTAACTGATGCCTAGCATCTCCCTGAGCGACCGATGTTTTATACCGACCAGTTGAGCTAAACAACGATAATAGTTTCGAATTTATGTCAGTTACTACGATGTCTCCATTTCTGAAACATGCAACAGCTGTGGCGAAGTCAAATTCCTCGTCATCGGTACCTCTTTTGCCGAACTTTTCCTTTAATTGCCATTTCTCGCTGACACAGACCTCCCCAAGATCTGCATCACTCACAACATCTTGAAATCTGACACCAATGAACGACAGACCATAATTGGCCGGTTCACACTTGAGCTCCTTCTGGAATTCCAAGTTGTGCATCACCTTTGGCTTGAGCTCCAAAAGCTCGAAATCATCGGCTTGACTCATCAAGTCATTTACTGCTGCGATGGTCTGATCTGCGCGTTCCATTTGTTCACGGTTGTGCGTGAGCGCCTTTTCGTATTCACTGTCTCTCTCCTGACCGATTTTGTTGACCTTGTCGGTGAGAAGCTTTGCTTTGTTTCTGATTTTAGAGATTTCTGCCTCCGCTTTTGCATCAATACCACTACGAGCCTGAGCCAGTTTTTTTTGCAATCTTTTTTGTGCATGTTCGATTGACTTTTCAGTAGATTTGAAGTGCTGCCTGCTCTTCTTGAACTTCTGCAGTATGTTGTCAACCTCACTGCGGAAGGACCTGATAGAGTCATCAATCTTTAATAAATTGTGCTTTGCCGACCGATGATCTAATGTGGCACACATTGAGCAGATTAAGGTATTGCATGTGTCACAGAAGAAACACAGAGGATGGTCAGTGTGGATCGTACACATTCGGGTGATGGGTTTGCTATGTTCTGCTGGAGGCAGCTTAGATTCCTGCCAATCTCCCAATGAAATGATTTGATGGTCTTTGGTGGACTTGACCCTCCCATGGGTTTTCCTGCATTCCTGACAGAGGTTATCACTACAATCAAGACACCTCCAAGTGGCCTCCTTGCCTTCTCCACAGTCACAAGTGGTGGTAGGTGCCGATGCTTCTCCTAATACCGCCTTCTGTTGTTTGACCTCATCGACAAGAGAGCTAAGAAAGAAAGACGAAGCTAGACTCTGCAATCCTCCATCAGGAACTTGCGTCTCTCTCCTGCAGACTGGACATGTAATCTTCTCTGTCTCTGGCTTCTGTTTGCTCATCATCTCTTTCAGACACTTCAGGCAGATGCTGTGGAGACAGTCCAGCATCTTGGGATCCTTGAAAAGACAGCAACAGATTGGACATTCCAGATGCCCCTGGCTGATCTTCCACACAGGTTTGACTGCAGCCTCCGCCATATTTCAGATGTGACCTAATCAAAACACAACAAATCTCTGTGTCTGAAAAAGCTCAAAATTATAACAAACAGCTGGTTGCCCCATAGAGCTGTGCATCGGAACTGGGTACCCGAGTACCCGATCGTTAATGCCAGGAACCAGTTCCAGATTATGGAATCGAGTATCCGTAACCAACTTTGCAAATTACTTGATAACTTTTCAGTCAATGAAAAAGAAATGTTTTGAATGTCAGTGGGAAAATTTCAAAATGAAAAACAGGATACATTGCATTCAAATCCAATTTCACATTTTATGATACTTGCGAAAGTTGTAGTTTTCACCACATAGCTAAAGAGCTCACTGTATACACCCTATCTAGCCTATAATTGCTGCACCGATGTGGTAGTACTATCATGCGGACCTTTATGGACAATCTGAATTTATTTAACGGGTACCAGGTACCCATATTTTTTTCAATAGGGTACCCGTATTTTTTTCAATAGGGTACCCATATTTTTTTCAATAGGGTACCTGGTTTCTGTACTAACCAAGTGCACACCCCTATATGCCCCAACCCATCTCTTTTACGGCAAACCAGCCTGGGATACGTACATTTCTATTTGGGTTATTCTATAAATTGGGGTCCAAAATGGGACATTGCAGTAAAAGGGCTCAAAAACTTGAAGTTATTTTAATTATGGTCAATCTTGTTTTTCATAATATGAAATGTATTTACTTCCATCAGGATGGTAAAGTGCAAGCCTTTTCAGCAGAAAGGAGATCCTTAACAACTTCATGTCATCTGGAATATTAAAAACACTAAGCTTTAAACATAACTGGGACACCACAGGACACCATGTTACGTGTGAAATTATTTCAACATTACAAATGGTCATATATTTTTTGTTTCTTAGCATCGCTGTCTTGTTTTTTTCTTTAGCCTTTTATTTAATGGACAGAATTTGTTAATTACCAAGGAAAAGTAAGCAATGTAATCATGCAAGACACTTCACACAGCAGAATTGGTTCACACGTAACAGGGACACCGGGGGACACCAAACGTTACATGTGAAACCATAATATTGGGGAGCACCATATCACATCTTCACACATCTATTTCTTTAAAAATTGTATCTTATGTTGAAATTGAGTTACTCCTATTCATCATTTTAACCTAAAAAATGGCATAGTTTACCTTCTAAGGAGGCAAAAATATAATTTTTTTGAGACTAATTTTTGTCCCACTTGTTAAGCCAAAATTTGAGAATTTTCGGCTTTATTTTTTAATCAAAACAGGAACTAAATGGGATCAAGATAACAAATTTGTAGGTTTTATCAATGCAACTTTATTGGAGTTTGTTACACATAAAGTATCATTAACTTGAATACATTTCCTATTTAGTTATAAAACAAAAAAAGGCAACTTTTCGTATTTGACCCCTAAATTATAGAATGACTCATTTACACTGATTGACTGCACGCTAACTCATTGGGAGTTACAAATTAACAGCGGCCGTTTACTGTTCTTCAATACTTGAAATATTGGCTGCAGCCTCCGCCATATTTCAAGTGTAACCTAATCAAAAGAGAACAAACCTCTGTGTCTGAAACAGTTCAAAATCATCACAAACAGGTGATTGCCCCATACAGCTGTGCATCATCAGACCGGAACCGGGTACCCGAGTACCTGACCGTTAATGTCAGGAACCGGTTCCAGATTATGGAATCGAGTACCCGTAACCAACTTTGCAAATTACTTAACTTCTCAGTCAATGAAAAAGAAATGTTTGGAATGTCATTGGGAAAATTTCAAAATGAAAAAAAGGATACATGGAAAACCAAAACTAATTTCATGTTTTATGATGCTTGCAAAAGTTGCAGTTTTTACCACATAGCTAAAGCGCTCACTGTAGTATACACCCTATCTAGCCGTATTGCCTCACCGATGTGGTAGTATTATCATGCAGACCTTTCTGAACAATCTGAACAGCAACTTTCCAGATTTGAATTTTTGGCTTGGGTTTCTTTAACAGGTACCCATATTTTTTCAATAGGGTACCCAGTTCCTTTACTATACCCATAAGTGCACACCCCTATGCCCCAACCCATCCATGGGCGTCGCGAGGGGGGCGGGGGCAAGGGGGGCACTTGGCCCCCCCCCCCCCCCTAGAAAGGAGAAAAAAAAGGAAGAAAAAAGAAAGGGAAAAAAGAAAATGAAAAGAGGCGCGAAGACAAAGTGGTGTAAATTTAATGAGTTGGGGGGGGGGGGATGTCCCTGCCCCCCTCTAAAACTGATAAATCGAGAATGTGTTGAGAAATACAAGCATTTTTTGGCAAAATTTGTTTTTGCCGCCTCTAGAAAAAATCCTGGCGACGCCCATGAACCCATCTCTTTTACGGCACACCAGCCTGGGATACATTTGTATTTACACTGACTAATTGACTGCATGCTAACTCATTGGGAGTTAAAAATGAACAGCGGTTGTTTACTGTTCTTTAATACACAGATATATGGCCGATATCTTTTAATATGCAGAAATAACAGAGTTGTAACTGATTAAGTCACTGATTTTTGTGACTTGAGTGAAGTCAAGTCATTTTAAGAGGTGACACGACTCGAGTCGAGTCATTAGGTCAAGAAGGTCAAGTCGAGTCACAGTTTGTAGTCAAGTCCAGTCAAGTCAATTATGTAGCTCGAGTCAATTTGAGTCACAAATATTTGAACACTATACAATAAATAATCACGAGAGAGAAAGTCATTTTTTTGCTTTTTTCATTTTCGTTCGGGTTACTACATGTGGTGACACCGCATTTGACTCTTAATCATGGGCGTCGCGAGGGGGGGGGCAGGGGGGGCACTTGCCCCCCCCCCCCTGGAAAAGCAAAAAAAAAAAAAAAAAAAAAGGAAGAAAAAAAAAGAAAAAAAACGAAAAGAAAAAGAGGCGCAAGGACAAAGTGGTGTAAATTTAATGAGTTGGGGGGGGGGCAAAAGGTCCCTGCCCCCCTCTAAAACTGATAAATCGAGAATGTGTTGAGAAATACAAGCATTTTTTGGCAAAAAAAATTTTTGCCCCCCTCTAGAAAAAATCCTAACGACGCCCATGCTCTTAATGAAAATATAAAGGTGGTGCCAGCTGATCGCCATTCAACTAATGGGGACACTGATCAAACCATGTATATATTCATGAACATTCTAACGTGACCTGAACAAAAACCGGCACCGGTGTAAGTCATTGCAAATATTTTTCTCAAAGTCAAGTCATTCTGATGAGGGACTCGAGTCGAGTCGAGTCATTTGCTCACAGTAATTCAAGTCGAGTTGAGTCATTTTCCGTTAGGGACTTGAGTTGAGTCGAGTCACCAAATTTTGTGACTCGAGTCGGACTCGAGTCGAGTCAATGACTAGAGTCATTACAACTCTGAGAGATAAAAATAATGGGAGTAGGCCCGAAAGTAAAAAGGACCCAAAAGTAAAAAGGCCCAAAAGTAAAAAGACATAGACTCGTATTTTCAGACTTCAATTCAGAAAAGAGAATTCGATATTTTTTAAAAGCGTCATGTTTATAACAAACATACCTACATGTACTTGCGCATCACATGCACTGAAATGCTAAACATTGATGCATTGATAATTTTCCTGGTAGGCCTATAGGCTACATTTGACATGTTCAAAAACAAAGCGAAACGGACGAAAAGCAAAGACCATTTAAAATCCAGCCAAAACGCCAAAACTCACCTACTTTATCTGGATCAACAGTTTCCCACCACAAACGTGAAACTTCCGTCAAATGTAAAAAAAGAAAAGGATGGCAAAACTACCATCAATTAACTTGCAAGTTGTAAGGTTCTGTAAGCCTAGGTTTATACGTGTACATGTCAGGCCTCTTCAAGCGATGAATGGTGCAACAACAGCTAGTTAATTCACTCCTTTACTCAACACTGGAAAAACCAGTTGCTATTTTTGTCACACAGTACCGTAAAGATAGCAACCCTATGATAATGGTCTTTATTCAAGTTCAATATAGGCCTACACACTAACAATGCTGCAAATGATATTGAAATTAAAGTCCACAGTTCAAACAGGCAACCTAACTCTGTCTATGGAAGCACAAAATGGACATTGCACAAATATCACCACTGCATGCATTTTTATAACTCCTTTTGCATGTATAACTGTTAAAAATGCCTACAAATAGGCCTTCAATTTTATACTTTTAACAATATGAAAATGGAAAAAGGAGGGTTGAAAATAAGAACTGAAAGTAGGATGTATTAAGGTATCCACGATACAAACATGGGCTTCGCGAGGGGGGGGGGCGCTCCCCACCCCCCCCACCCCCCCCCCCCCACACAAAGCAAAAAAAAGAGGCATGAAGTCATAGCGGTGAAAATTTAATTGGTGGGGGGGGGGGGGTGGAGTGTCTCTGCCCCCCACTAAAACTGATCAATCGAGAATATGTTGAGAAATACAAGAGTTTTTTTGGAAAATTATGTTTTGCCCCCTCTAGAAAAAATCCTGGTGACGCTCATGGATACAAAGCTAAAAATTAGGAAAAATACCCTACGTTTCATGCATGCCTACAATAGGAATGACTGTTACCAGTTGTAGTAGAAAAACTAGCAGATGGTAGGGGTAAGGTGGCTTGGCTTTTTGTTAAATCTTGGCCACAAGAATAGTCCATTATTTAAAGAACATTCTGCAAAGTCCATCCACAAATGATCGAGGCCCAAGTAGGAATATTACAATAAATATAGAAAAGCAACCCTTAGTAAAGCTGGTCGGACTACCTGTGAAATTATTCTTTCTGGCATAACATGCTGTCATTGTGATGAAAACAATATAAGAAGGCCGTTTCCAAATATATGTCAGATGACACATTTCTGGAAATTTCCGCTAGTAGTTGGTTTGCAATTTGGCAAATCTGTGAATGGGTGCGCACAAGCTTTGACACGACACACACACGTGTGAGGTTGCTATCATTCATGGGTTATCGTGTGACATCACATAGCTGCAGTCAGCT